ACGTGATGGGCTAGTCACGTGCGAGACAGTTGTGACAAGGCTGACGAACGAGTGCACGTGTCATTTGCAGTAAATTACAAAAGTCAGCTAATGAAATTTGTAGTCGAGATTGGTAACGAAGCAGAAGAAAGGGAATTCGTGATAAAAATCGAAGCATCAGAAGCTGTCTTGTTATTTCCAGAAACTCGAACGCGTCAATAACTTGACAAGATCGTACGACGCTATGTAATAGAAATAGTTTTTTACACAAAAAAATATGTCAAAATTGGACATCGGATGTGACTGAACAGGTCCCCGATTCCACCTATTAACCAACCAGGACAAAGAAAAAAAATGGTTCTTATATTCAACAGAAAATGAATGCATATTTGTCGTAGCAAAAGATATTTTACGTGGTGTTTTGTTTTGTGTGTGTTTTCGAACACATAAAGTCTAATGATAATATCGGTCTGTTCACAGTTTTGAGTCGAAGCTACAATATATAAGATGTACGTCTGACTTTCGCTCTTGATATGGACTTGAAATTAAACCTGTTTTCTTTTACTCTGGAACAATCATCAGCAAACAGAAACTGAGACAATACCTCATCTCCATAGATTAAATTAATTAGTCATAATACTGACATTTACAAGTTTTGATGCAATGTAATAATGTACAGGAATTTCGGTTTGCATCGATGTACGTCGCATTGTCTGTTTATTGGAACTAATGGGTATGCAGGCAATCTCAATCTCAACAATCTCCCAGCGTGCCTGCTGAATGCGATCGAAAACAAGCATAATTTCCTTCTCGAATTTCGAAACTATTGTAAGGTATAAATAGTTACAATTATATTAATATGAATATTGAAATGCATATACGTTACTTATTATACGTTATTTATTATTTACGATACTTTGTATAAATACCCAAATGTAATCGTAGTGGACACCATGAAATGTAAAAATGTAAAAGCAAATGCGACAAGGGTGAAAAATAAAGGAAATGTGTCCACATCCGTGAATCGCCTCCTCTGAAGACAAAGTTCGCTGTACGATTCCTAAACGATCATAAACACATGTGCTAATAACGTGAAGAATTTATAATACAAAGTTTCTTGAAAGGTGCAAGATAGTGTCCACAGATTTCTGTATCCAGTACTTATGTACCAGCTGTCTTCAGAGCACTGATACAAAAGATACACTGATTGATACTGACACGAAACCATTGTTCCTAGAATTTTTGTTTGTAATATTGCTGAATGAACATGAGAGATTAGTTCCCCCAATATTTTACCTTTTGAATCCATTTTCATAATATAATACGGATCACTTAGATATACCCTAGTGTACCACCTACGAAATACACCCAAAATGGAAGATAGGTTTAGCCTGGACAGAAAGATGCAGTTTCTGATTTTCTGAAACATGCTTGTGTGATTCTTATTCGCAGCTCTCGTCTTAACTAACCCCCACATGATGAGAACGGGGATGCTTTACAATGACGGCCGTCGATAGGATAACATTGGAAGATGGATTTTAAACGCTGCTCTTGCTGATATTGAATGATATCTTTACTCATCACGATTTGGTCCCAGTGTAATTCTACTCCAGCAGAAACAATAGCCCTCAAGAGGAAATGGCTTTTACCGCAGAAGCAAATGAAAAAAGTCTGTCGCAATTTTCCGTTTTCAACGCCCGCTGAGAGGCGCTATCTGAAACTCTCCATTGCAGGTTGACGGGAGGAGGGGGTACATGATCAATCTTCGTTGCTAGGGTGACGTCATACCTAGCAACCCTTTTTCCCTCAATCAGGCTGGTCGCTCAGACGACAGGATCGCGCAGCGACTCTTGACATCAGTCGACTGGGAGGTCGGGAAAAATCGTGGGGGTTCGCGCCAACTCGGCACTTTCCGTGCCCTACTGGAGATTAGAGTGATGCACGGGGGATTAGAGAAACGTCATTTGTTTTTCTGATGAAGATATTTTTGACTAGCCTGAGGGCGGGCGAGGTTGAGATCTCCCATGAATGTCGCCCCTGTTTCCATTAATTATACACTTGAGGGCCCTAGGCTCGACCCAGCCTCATAGAAATCCAATCCGAACCCATTGAATCAAGCCAAAGGATTACTTTATCTCATCGCTTCTTCAGAGAAAGGGGAGAGAGGCTAAGTCTCCTCGGTATCGATTCATCTTGGAGATCTCTCCAACCAACCTTCTCCTCGCGCCCACCCAGACCAGCACATGACTGGATCTGATCCCATCCCCATCAGTAGATGCTTCCACTTCAGATATAGCCGGAATCCATTTCTGGGGAACAATCGGAAATTAGATGCAGTACCTCTTCATCCTTGAAAAGCTTGTACGATGGGCTAAGATTACAGCAGAGGTCCCTTTCCCGTTCCTGAGTGAGGCTCGTGTAACGTCTTCCTGTTCCGGGGTCGAACCAATTCAATGTGGGACGTGCTCGTCTTCTTTTGTTTTCTTTAGTGGAAGAAATGGACGGATTGTTTGATGAACCACTGTCAAACGATAATGATCGTCATAGGATCTGGACAACATCGCAAATTGGTCAAGCACGTCGTGGAGGAAATGTGAAGCTAACATAGTTGTAAAAAGGAAAGAATTATTTTACGAGACATAATGATAGATGGTTTATTGTTAACTCTCTTTGATTACAGATACGTATTAGTGTGTGTGGTATGAACTATTTGGATCAGATTTAACGAAGAAAATCATATCGCAATTTATTCTTCTATTTTATGGGAATTCTTTCAACCATTTTCACGAATCGGTGACTTTTCTCCACATAACATTAATCTCACACCAACGCATACTACGATTCGGAGACGTTGAGACATGGCTTTTCCCTCGGTGACCTGTCCATAACACAACCATCCACGCCACAATGAAGTTTTCTTTTCGTCTCTTGTTCATGTGTCGTCTGCTCGCCTCCTTCCAAAAATCGATACATGAGGATGAACATGGCGAGGAGTGCCCTACACGGTGAATATACTGCCGGTCTGGGCAGGCATTATTTATTAACAGCCTGCTGGTATTCAAATCTCTTCAGCTAATGGAATCGTCTGGATGCTGCCCGATTGCCGCCAGGGTTGTTATCTATCCAAACCCGACAAGATAAATGTTTCAGTTTTATTACAAAGCTTTGAAAAAACCTGACCCACTCTACGAAAGCTTTGGTCAAATGCCAAGCAATCTGTCTCTCTGCTGTATAAATTATCCCCAATTTCTTCTAACCCACCGTCTTACGAAGGCCGAGCGTCTGGACATGTATGTGTGGAGCCAAGACACTGATCCAGCGGAGAATGGCCCACGGGCGACTCATATCGCCTGGTCGCAGCGGACCGTGGCAAATCTCCCTCTGCCCATTTTGACACGGCGTGAGTGATTTGATGAGAAGTGACTGAGTGACGCCCCTCCCTCGATCCCTTCCCCCTGACCGTTATCAGTTCTCCAGGCGACACAGTCCTTTACCCTCGACCCTAGTTTTAGCTAATCACATTTGCATACATTTGCATATATTTACATGAACAGACTCATCGGTGTCACGTCAGCGCAAACGAAGAAGGTATTTGTCATGCCGCGTCTTTCAAAGGATAAGACACGGCGGGCTTAGTGTACTAACTACATTGCAGCCCACATAAAACTAGAAATCCGTGTTGTCTTGCTAGGCCGTCTTCTCACCACTTTTAAATTAAGTTATTTCTGTGCTTATTGTTAAAACTTACGTCTTTCTAAATTATAAAAAAATGTAATATTCGTAAGTTCGTTTTAATATTTTACCGCATACCACAAATTACGTCACTCTTTCTGCTCTTGCGTGTGAAGCATTCTCATTTCTCTAAACTCTTTAAATTTGTAACTCTTAAATTTAAACATTTAACACAACAGATTTGAAGGCCGAGCCACCCGGAAGGGGCGCCAAACCAACTCTTCTTTAAACATCATGTTTACTTTTCCTCTGGTAATTCAATTTTTATTGCATGTTAGGTGCCAATTAAAGGTCAGCCTTTGACCCGGCGTGTTCCTGAAGCTGTTAACGTTATTGAATTTCTACTTTGTGCAACGACCGTGAATGTATAATTGGTGTTAATAAGCCCTGTGTGACTATCGGTCGGTACGGTATAATTGGAACAAATACTGAAGTTCACTTCACTCATGAAAAATAACCCTCTAAAAGAACATATATTATATACTTTGAAATAAATATTGTCTCCGACTCCTGGCCAAAACTTTCATGATATGAGAAAATATTTTAGATAAGACGATGCAATTACGTATTTTACTCTACACCTAAAATTCTTGGCATTGTGGGTATATGTATGTGATTTTCAAGAAGGTTACTTCTCTACAGTCTTGTGTTAATAGCACTGTTACTGACAACATCATTCTCATCATCAGTGTAGTCCAGTGGTTAAAGTGTCCGCTTGTTACGCCTAATGGCCAAGGTTCGATACCAAAACGGGTACAATATATGAAGCCTATTTACGATGCGCACTCTGTGCTGTTGTAGAAAATCCATTCACGGTGGAAGAATCCACCACGTTGCGTGTGCCGGAGATCAGTTTCTCTCAGTACGATTTCAACTTTACTGCGCTACGTAAAACCATGCTCTCTCCCCTCCTTCTGTCTTAATTACATCCATAGCAGCGGTTATCCTTTACTTTATGTTATTCAAAGGCAATTACTAGTGGCGTGTAAATTAGTTATTACATAATATTCCACTTTCCGGAATCGGGTTATCTTTAGATATCAAACTGCGTTTTAGCGGAAAAGGCAACAATGTTGATAAAATTATATAGGTTATCTACAGCGTTTAGAATATTTTTTCCGACTACATTTCACGGAGTTAACATACCAAGCGCTCGCCCAACGCCATGTACGCGCTGTGTCTGCAGGGGCCAGTAATAAGCCTTCTGGGAAGGCGACTACAATACTTTTCCCCCTTGGCAACGGGCATAACATCACAAAGAAAATACTAATTCGTCTTGTTTGTTTCAGATGCATCGGACAACCCGCCTGAAGATAACCGACATCAACCCCCACCTCATCTGCGTTCTCTGCGGGGGCTACTTCATCGATGCCGCCACCATTATCGAATGCCTGCATTCTTGTAAGTCATCGCTCTAGACGGCTAAATATAGCAGCGTTTCGATTTTTGCGCTTTTCTCTCGCGGAAGCCAGTAGTGGAACTGCGAACGTCGTGTAGGCCGGTCCTCGAACTCGCTCCTCAGCCCGACGTGTTTAAACCGATGGAATGTGTTTACAAATCTGTGCTGTTCCAAATGATTTTTAAAGTTGAACAGAGACTGGACTGGAGTGCATAAGAGCTCTTTGATGAAAGAATTGTTTCTTGGCATCTGGTAGGATCAACGGCTTGCAGAATTAACGCTGGTGTTCGGTTTGGAAGTTTTCATTGAAATTCTACGTCTGTTTTAACGGCTCGCTTGAACGCCGGTTCTGTAACTGTGTTTGGCGTTAGGGTGTAGTCTTTGAGATATTTGTAATCATGTTACTGATTTCATGCATGGCGGTTTAAAATTACTTGGAATTATCCTGAAATATCGATGGAATTAGACCAATACGCTTATGCGGAAACGGTAATTACAGTGAATGAAATTATATTGGTAGGTTGACATATATTCACGTACTTAAAATGCCTTTCGGATTCTACTGTGATATTCGTGTCATTATCAGTACCCCTCAGTGGTCGTTCTGTTGCTGAAACATTGCCAATGGCCGTTGACATATAAATCCGCGTTAACCGCATGTAGAAACTGATAACCATTGTTTCCATTGTTTCTAGTCTGCAAGACGTGCATCCTGCGGTATCTCGAGACGAGCAAGTACTGCCCCATCTGTGACGTCATGGTCCACAAGACCCGCCCACATCAAAATATCAGGTATGTACGAGTTTGTGTATATAGACAGGATACTGTATGGAGGCCTGCTACCAATATCTATCTATTGCGGTATAGATCATTTGTCAAGCAGGTAGTTGCCTCTGTTGTTTTTCACATCGTTATTCAGGACCCGGGTTCGAATCACAAATGTACAATGTGTGAAATGCCCCCGCCTACTGGAAACTAAAAGCGGTTAAAAACTCAGGCAGTCAGTCTAAAATGCCAATTCAACTGAAACTCGTTATAAATACACAGTGGCTTGTGACTCTTGATAACTGGTGACAATTGATGACAAGTGACTGGAAGCATATTTCCGACGTGAATCAGGATTCAAACCCAGACAAGATCGCAATGCCTCATGCATTTAGGCCCCAACGTACCAAATCCCTCAATGTTTTCTGTCATTTCGCTAAACATTAATTCCCCAGTTCTACCTTGCGTTATTTTGTGTGTCAGTATACCTAGTTATGTTATGAAGGACGGAGGGGTGGGGTGGGGTATTTTGTGATTAAACGTGATGCAGGAATGCACATAATCCTCATGTAGCCCCTGAACCACAGTATTGTCCCTAATGCCCAACCCTCCCTGCAATGCTAAAGAACTAAATGAAGCCAGTCTAGTTTTCTCCAGGCTCAGGCCTGAGTGTTTTAACTCAGTGGAGCTCATTTTCAATTTAAATGGGTTTATTTGTTACTGTCAAAATTGTATATATTCAGGGACTTAGCGTTAGTCTAAATCCTCATGGTAAATTCAGATGTGTGGTGTTAGGTTCGATGAAAACCGTAGAGCACATCGTATGTTTAGTTTGCATCTAACAGTAGGGGCTGCGGTACTATGCTATAGAAGCAAATAGTCTTTGCTGGAAATAGAGAAATGGTCATTAACCACCCGCCGCATGGTTAACAAAGGGAACTGTGTCTGATGAAGCTCAATTCGCAGCGCTTTAAATTTAGTTTTTAATTTGATTTCTTCAATATGGACGTATTCCAACTCTACTTAATTAAAAGAAATTTGTATCAACTGTCTCCGTACGTCGACATAGCCAGCATCCAGGCATCGTATTCTCGCGGTGACTAAGAATGTGCCATGAATAGGATCATGTATGTGTTGATATTCTTATGCCAAGATGTTATAGAAGCGCTTTTTCCAAATTTAGATGTGGGTTTGCTCCAATTAGACTTGAAACGGGGCGTTATGAAAAATTACCTGTGGAAGAACGCACCTGTCCGTTGTGCAATGATAACTGTATTGAAGATGAAGTGCATGTTTTACTGAAGTGCTCGATGTACGATGACCTGCGATCGGAATTGTTAACTATCTATGGTGAATTTTTCAATCTTACCGAAGAACAGAAATTTTGTTTTTTAATGTCAAATTGTGAAGTTGTTAGTAGTGTTGCCAAAGCCTTAGTCCTTATTCTATCTAGAAGGCGATGGTTGCTGTATAGCAGTTAAATTGTATATAGACATTATATTCTTTAATTTTCTTTTTTAGCGCAAACGTTTTTCTATGACTTTTAGTAGCTTGTATATATTTTAGATTTAGTCTCATAATTCCATAAGGAATGGTGCATGTGCTTTTACTGGTGTTTGTCTAATTTTTATATATTGTACATGCAGTGAGACGTTAATAAATTATCTGTCTGTCTGTATTGTGCGTAATTGTCCGAGACAGTAGCGGAAAGTATAGTGACGCAATTGTAGATACCACGGACCTACTTGAACACAAATAGCGACAAAACACATTTTCATAATCGTCTATTATGGTCTGAGACAATTGTATGATCCCGATTATATACTAAGCATATATTTAGGATTAACTGTGATAACGACAGCTGTTGACGAAAAAGGTGGCTGTACCCTGGAACCCATCAAGAACACATGCAAACGCAAGTCAATCGTTCACCAAACCACGGAAAAAGTCTAAACTGGGAATTAAATCTGACATATTTTGTCTTTTTTTCGTCAAACACGTTTAAGTATAGTATTGTTAAAGTTTATCCTCAATATCGCTTCGTAATAGCGGATGCAGCTTTTGCCTACTCGTAATGAAACCAGACGTACGTGGAGAAAATACGGACGAATACTGAAGTGTTTATAGGGAATGTAGTGCCTCCCATCTGCACCATGTGTGACATGACACATGTCTCATGGTCTGATTACCTTCCGGGTAATCACAGGTCCAGGCGACGAAAGGTGAAGCCCCCGACTGAAGATACCTGTAATATCACACTGAGCCACTAGGCGACGTCATTGCCACCGTCGCACCTTTCGGGAATCATTCAACACCACTCGTCTATTTCCGTAATCCGCACGCACAGTCACGAATGAAAAACTCGTTATTTTGACATCTAAAACGATGTCTTCTTTGTGACAGATCAAAAGTATTCCCTTAACGTTGTTAATATCGCTCCATATCCAGAATATTATATTAAAAGTATTTCGTTTGTTAAAAAACGGTAACTAATGTACGATCAACGCGTCCACGTGCGTGTTGGCGCCTCATAATGCTCTCGTCTCCCTTGTAGGCCCAGAGCGTATATTTGATGAGCAGACCCCTATTTCACTCTCATCCCATCTCAGAGTACACCCATCCCTCCTCAGATCCCCAAATTAAGATATGTGATGGTTTCTCTATATAATTATTTCCATTTAACTTCATACATAACTGTACTTCGGCGACAAGATATTAGTCTACGACTCGTCACACGGGGCCTGTGTGATGCATTAACTCGATCAGGGTAGTGGACATTACAATAATGTTTCGTTCTTTGTAACATTACATTACCTCTGTCAGCAAAATTGAATTAAGGGAGTGTTGTCTGCAGTAAATATTGAAGAAATCAAGTGGTCTTTTGTAACCAAGACGAACTATACTACTTCAACTCTGAGAGGAATACTTTTATCGTGCCACGCAACACAAACTTAATTCTTTGAAAGGGATATTTTTATCTTTCCATGACGTACAAAATTGATTCTCGTAAAGTCAAGTCTGTATTACACAAAAACATATGTTTGATTATACCTTTTAAAACTTGGGCAGTGTATTAACATGACAGACAGTTCGCCAATCCCTCTGTCCCAACGCGAGCACACCCCGTCCATATATGTATTAAATCAATTCGATCACGTTTCATGCTTCTTATTTAAACAAGAGAGCACATGGCTGCATTACTTTTCAAATATCATATTACTTAATTATAGCAGTGTGTTGGAACTGCGTATTATATTATCCAATTAATACTAGTATATGTTTAATTTGTTTTCCAATACAGTATTTAATTAAGCAGTCTATAGCTGCCATGGCGTTGGAAGGACGGCATGCAGCGACAACAGCGTTCGTCATACCGAAAACATCCCTCACCCCTAACCACCATCTGTTAAGAATAATTGTTTACTCCAATTCTGATATTTGATTCGTACTGTTTCAACGTTTTGAATTAGCTGTCGGGTGTGTACAGACAAAATATATGTCAATTATATATTACTGGACTGGCACCATCAGGAATAACTCGTGTCTGTTGGTGTTGTTGATATTTGAAACAGATCTCCTCACCTCCTTTTATATCAGTTTACGTACTTTCAGAGCCGATAAGACTCTCCAAGACCTGGTCTACAAGCTAGTTCCGGGGCTGTACAAAGGTAAGTTGAAGGGTTACATCGGGTGATGGGTAGTTTATAGGGTGGAGCGTTCTTTCATCATTGTAAGGACCAGGTTCGATTCTCACTTGGTACGGCGCAGTGAGGTAGTCCAGTGATTAAAGCGTTCGCTCGTCACGCCGAAGACCCGGGTTCGATTCCCCACATGGGTACATCATGTGAAGCCCGTTTCTGGTGTCCCCCGCCGTGATATTGCTGGAATATTGCTAAAAGCGGCGTAAAACCATACCCACTTGCTCACTCCCTGTTGTGGTATAGGCGGATCCATGGAGACTGAAATTTCGAGGGCCGGGATAGATCCCCATTTGATCTGCTGGTCGCACGAGGCGATTAAATTTGGACGTACACCATCGTTTACTTTCCTGAACCTGGAATATTTCTGACTGAACAACAAACAAATATACTGTTATGATGGAATAATTTTTTTAATTCCGGGTAAAACAACCTGATATGCTTAGCACTGCAGAAAATGTGTACCTGTAATTTTGTAAGGTTAAGGTAAATATCGTTCTGTTTTATTAATTTTTAAATATTTCAATGATGTTGTCACTATACAAGTATAGCATGAAATCATGAAAAGATATCTCAAGCCAAATAGGCTAGAAACAAAACTCGTTAATGAACGTGGTTTTGTTTGCGATACTTTTGTCCAGTAATATGTAGATCATATCTTTATCTTAACTCATAACGTACATTGTATAAGCTTATTATTATCATTCAGAAGATAAATAGCTATATCACCCGGGCTACTGTCTGGACAGTTAGACATTGGCCTGTTACGTGACCCTGACCGCTGATACGTCATGCGACTGATTGGATATTCTACGAAAATAATCTGACTATATTGGCCTCCTTTTTCAGGCGAGATGAAGCGAAGGAGAGAATACTTTGCCATAAATTCAGCCAAAGGTGAGAAAACATGGCGATCATAGAATTTATTCATCATGATGGTGATTTCAAGAACTGTCATCAATACTGTGGATGTCTTTTATATGAAGAAAGCAACAGGATTAAAATGATACTTTTCTTTCATTGACAACTTATGTACACTGGCGTCATCCTCAGAAGGCGCACAGGAAAATGTTATCTCGAGGAGGAAAAAAATGGGAAATTATCTCCTGAATTATTTTTAAGCAATCATATAATTGTGAATACTTACACATATATAAATTTCTTTAGACCATGAAATTCCTCAACTGCCCTTGAGAAGGTTTCAGTATAATGTGTCTGAGTGGGGTATTCATGCTTCACTGCGGCATGGTATCTCAGTGGGCTAGCACTATAAAAAACAGCTTAAGTCTGGGCTAGTACAAGCGGCCGCACATACACATACACACGCATGCACGTCGTCATATGAGCGAAATATTCTCAAGCACGACGTAAAACCCAATTTCACCTCACGTCACCTAGACTAGTATTTTGTGTCTGATGATAAATAATATATTTTCATAGGAACAAACACGTACTTTCGAGTTGAAAAGGTACCCGTGACTATACCGGGTTGATTTGATCTTTTAGTATCCATACTTGTAAGAGGATACTAACGGGTTGGTCAGTCTAACACTTGGTTGATGCATACCGTCGTATCCCAGTTGATGTAATGATGTCAGAAGGTGATGGCTGATGGCCTATGCAACAACAAACAGCTTACCTTGCTCGTGAGATTCACGCAAGGTATGCGGTGCCCTTTCCTCCAACACCAAGCGGAGTGGCCGTATGAACAGATAGATACCTGGTGTTGTAACACCAGCATTCTCAACCATTCCTGTGGCTCCACGCGGTGTCATATCCTGATTAACAAAGCTTTGTAGGTAACACCAGGTGCTCATGTTTTATATATTGTCTCCTCCCCAGACGCGCCTAAAGCCCCGAGCGAAGCCCGAGGGGACGAGATGGCAGAACGCTTCATCTATACGTCAGACGAGAACATCAGCATGTCGCTGGCATACTGTCAAGAGTAAGTATTGACGATGACCACAGAGAGGAAGAAAAACCGACGTCCGTGAGCAAATGTGGGAGGATTATTTCTACCGGGATTAGTTAAGTAGACAGGTAGTTAGGAAGAAGAAGAAGAAGAAAATTAGTTTATTTCCGTGTCACATATTTTCTAGACATACATATACATTTCGTCGACCAGTTGAGGAAAATATAGGTTTATATCACACGAATCTGTGTGGGGAAGGATTTTGTAAGATTCGGTTGATCCAGTTGTTGCAGAAACAGTCATCTGGTAGTCTTTCAGTTAGAGCATTCGCTCCTCATGCCAAAGACCCGAGGTTGATTCTTCACACGGTATATGTGAAGACCATATTGATTGTCCACACACATGCCAAAGTAATATTTTAAAAAAAAGACGTTTGACTCACTCACTCACACACTCCCTTCGTGCTGAATATTCTTAATTGGTTAAACGATTCCATTCCAAGTATTTCTAGCATTTACAGTTTACGGTTCGTGTGTTTTTCATTCAAAGTCGGTGTTCGTCAAAAACACTCATTAACTGCTAGATTAAGCGATGATGTAACGCCTTGATGGCAATACGTGGTCGGCATCTACCACATCCTCGACTGCCTGATGTAGCCGACGCTAGAAGAGCTTCCGGTTCCTCCGTAGGAAGCGTCCAATTACAGCATTAACTCCACCGTCCCTACGTCATTCACTTGTCAAAGACAAAATACATGATTAAATAGTTTGGTGGAAACCTTCGCGGTTAACGTAAGGAAGTTCCCAATTAGTGAAGTGATTTGTTGAAGGTTGAGAAATTTCCCCGGGTTATTAAATGGTGTCGTATTAAGAGTAGATTTAAGTCACTGGATGTGAAATCACTGACGTCAGATGTAACAGCCTGTCGTGAGTTCGAATCCAAGTTCTTTCTGCAGTTATGATCCTTGTGTTGATGTTAGTGGCCACGGGATGTACGATGTCCGTCACTGACAACTCCTCGCCCTACGCGTAATCTCTCTCCCTTCACCTCTCTCTTTCACCTCCTTTCTCCTCCTTTCTCCCTCCCCTCTCGCCCCTCCCCTCAAATACACCTCCCTGCACCGACTAACCCGTATTGCTGTCATTAAGCCACTGTTTATCATATTTTCCAATCTTTTCGGCTGTCTTCAGCGTCCCGTACAGCAGGTAATTTATTCATGACTCGGCCAGAACCCTGATTCAATAATTACACCGAACCGTCTAAACGCCATCGGTGTAGATTCCTCCGGGAATTGCTCCCCGATAAACCAAGCAGGTCCCGACAAGCTGATATGATGGCCGAGAAAAGATCTTCTCTGTCAATCAAATAGTAAAGCCACAAAGGTGCGCCAGTTCGTTTGATAAGAACCCATCGTCATTCCCAGGAGATAGTTGAAGATAATACACCAGAAGTACCCCGTGGGATTCTGAGATACATATGGCTGCATCGCAGTCTTTCATTGTGTTATCAAATGGTTTCAAACTGAGGACAATGAATACAGTTCTCCGCCACGACTGACGTACTCATTTACTATATTTATAAAACAGTTATTGGAAATTTAATTTAAATTTTCAGCATTAATTCCTTAAAATGTACACTTCTATAGATTTTTGCGACATATTGCAGTTTGTAAGATAAAGGTTTCCGGTAAATTCCTGTTTGGCTCCGAGTTTTAACCGACCATTGTCTTGCACTCAGGTATTCATTGTATCGATGTTATATTTAGTATTGCATATGACAGTAAGGTACTGATTCTAGTACATTTGTTAGGCTGAGTCCCGTCCGGGATTCCAGCCCTTACCTTCAGAGTCAGACACCTAATCACCAGCTCACAAAATCCGCGATCTAACCCACTGGGCCGCCGCGACTTTACCGTTAACCGCGATAAGAGATCAAGAGATCAAATATTTATTGTGCAAACGTTCCATACAGAAACAGTGACAGTATTCTATAAACTACATAAACAAGATATATAATGAATCACATATATATGATGAGCAACAAAACATAAAATAATACAAATGTGTATAAAAATAATAATAATAATAATAATGGCCGTGGACAATCAGATCTTCTATATTTGTTTAAAGTTGTACATGTGGTAGCAAATATTTCTATACCATTTGGATCATTATTTCTAAAAGGAGGTTAAATTTTTCAGTGGTAGTAAGTCTGAGAAAGTTATTAATTTTAGAGGAAAGGGAGTTAAATAAGGACTTTCTTGCATCTGAATATTTGCTACATCTGAATATGGTGTATGGCTGCAATATGGCTAACACAACATTCACCAGTTTTCATCAACCTGCTGGCTGACGTAGAGTTCAAGATGGGCGATCGGACATAACGTCTACTGATTAAGGCCAGTACTTTGACGCAAGGCTTCCTTTGAACACCATATATCTGCTACTGATTGTATGTGTGTGACTGACATTATATGTCACCATATTCACACTTATATGGGGGCACAGTGGCCAAAGCGGTCGATCTTCACGTTGCGAACCTGTGTTCAGTCCCACATTTATACAATGTCCATTCATAGGTGGATGCGGCTGAATTGTTCTGTTACAAATCTGTCAGAATTCTCCAGGTCCCAGCATATAACGTCAGAGACTGCCGGAAACGTAAAATAAAACTTTAAAAAAAGATTTTGGGAATGCAAAGAAGTACTACGACACACGTTATTACAACTCACAAATGTTCCCTAATGAAAATTGAAACCCTTTGTTTATTGTAGAGGAATTCCTGATCCCGAAGTACTGCGGAGAATGAGGCAGGAGCATCTGAAGAAAGGAATCTCCAGCCCCAAGAACGGAGAGGTAGGGAGACAGAAGGGTCTGAGCAAAGAACGGAAGAAAACGTAGCCTTGCTGGAACTTAATCAAACTGCAATCTTTCACGGTCAATTAGGGACGGCGTTGCCGATCGTGTTCGTTATGCACATGGGCTCAATTTGGGAAGCTAATTCGTGGTGTTCTCGCTTTGATATTGCTGAGAGGCTGAAACGGCGTAAAAACGGCGTCTTTTCTTATTTATTTTGCTGGTTTTTCGAAAATATTGAAACTATTCTTTCGTATATATTTCTTCATTGTCTGAAGTATTTTCTTTGTTTAAGAATGGAATATTGTGTAGAATGTTGTTGTTTTTAATAGCATTAAAAACAGGTCATACCAGGCGATGTATGGAAATACGTTATCTACGGTTCTAGTTTAATTCGGGGCGGTGGTGCATCCCAGTGTTTAAAGTGTTCGCTCGTCACACTGAAGACTCAGGTTTGATTCCCCGTGTTGACCCATTTGTGGGTGCCTTGCTGTGGTTTTGCTAGATTTTTGCTGACAAAACGATAAATCTTGCACACTTTCTTGATTGTAGCACATGTTTTTGTTGTCTTAACGTTACGATGCACAAGTAGCGACATTCACAGGAAATACTGCTAGGATACCTCCTGTTTCAATGTGTTATGAAGTCTGCTGATTCCTGTGCTGAAAGTTTTAAGCAGTTACAAAGATAATTGTCAGATATTACTTCTTGTTACAGAATCGGGACGTCCGGTACCTACAGTGTCCGGCCGCAGTTACAATCTCACATCTGAAGAAATTCATCCGACTTAAATACGACCTGCCACTGAACTACCAGGTACAGTTATCTGTTCGTAATGTTGAATTTCGTTCATAAATATGCGATGTCTATTTAATTCAATTGAATTATATTACCAAAGACCCGTGAAGGTCCCGGGTTAGAATTGGTCTTCAGTAACCCATGCTTGTCGTAAGAGGCGAGTGACTAACGGGATCGGGTGGTCAGGCTCGCTGACTTGGTTGGCACATGTCATCGGTTCCCAATTGCGCAGATCGATGCTCATGCTGTTGATCACTGGATTGTCTGGTCCAGACTCGATTATTTACAGACCGCCGCCATATAGCTGGAATATTGCTGAGTGCGGCGCAAAACTAAACTCACTCACTCACTCACTATTACCAAAATTTGCAAAATTAACACGAATATGTCTACATAAAATTCATGAGTAACACCTTTTTATGGATAGACAACTTCTTTATTGCAAAAGAAGCGACGTGTCCGTGTAGATCCTAACGCCGTTATCAAGCAAATGATCAAAATCTGTCTGTCTATCCATAAAACGTGTTCCTTTTCATCATACCAGCTTCTATATGCCACTTAAAGAAGTTACATCAAGCCATGTTGTATCAACATGTGAAACGTGATATATTTGTTGAATGAAAACAATCGATGGAATTACAATACTGTCCTCATCCTCAACCGAACATAATAATAAAAAAACACGCGGACTATTTTATTTATCTGCCGATCCTAGATTTGACCTTGAATGTTAATGTGGTATATTTACAGTTGATATGATTTTAATGCAAAATGAATATTCGTTTTTCGATCCGTATAATTTTCTAAAAACAGCGGAATTATCACTATTTCGAACAATATTTATTGAAAGAAGTGCACTGACACTTCACACGTGTTATCAACGGTGCCACACATTTGTACCGCTGTCTAACCAGGTTTACGTATATGCCCTATTTTGTATAAACATCTTTTCATTTATTATCAACCGAGACACGCCGTGATATAACGGCAGAACCGCTCAAGTCTCGATATACCAACCTCACTCGTCCAGTATTGGTGTAACCTAATGACGTCGACGTCACGATGACGTAATCGTGCTTTGTGATAGCGTCATATGCTCGTGTTATATTCATGTTAGAACGTATACCAAGGTGCGTTTGTCAAATACCGCTACAAGTTTAAATTTATATTCCTATTTGCAGTACCGTTTTTACCCAGACAAGACATATTTTGAATTTCTATGTATTGTTACTTCAAACCAAAATAGGATGAATAATGTTCCTTCAAATCCGATAAATATTTGTATTTTAAATATAAATATTTGTATTGTATTGATTACGGTTTTGTAGCTAAAACATAACGCTGTACTGTAATGACTGACAAAAACTCAGATACAGTGAGATTTGACGGTAAGACCGCTTGTCGCGGAGCCAACTAAAACGAGGATGGGGCATTCAGGTTCTGTGAATCGGCTCATTGCGTCAATTCATGTTCCAATGTTACGGGTCGCGTCAGTCACAGTCGGCACATGGCGTGGTTATTAACGCGGATTTAATATTGCCGTGTGTGGAATTAAATAACATTCACATAATTAGCATTTAAAAATTTCGGAAAGGAAAAAATGTTAATGTATAGGATATTTTTTTATGTCAATACATGCGTGCTTTAAATAATTTAAACGCTGCTGTAGACACATGGCCCGCTCAAAACCGTATGCTTTGTAACAATTCTGTGATTGTTTTATAAAATTCTCGACAAAATCATCTCAAAACCATTGCATTTGATGGTATTCTAATGCCTACCACGTCCAGGGACCTACACGGTGTGGGTAGTTCAACTGTAGACTAATGCTTAGTCTTTGAATATATATAATTTTGATGGTAACAAACAAGCCCATTTAAATTGAAAAGGAGCCCTAGGGAGACCAGAGATTCAGAACCTGAGGAAATCTAGACTTGCTTTATTTAGGGCTTTAGCACTGTAGAGAGGGCTTGGCAGTAGGGAAATTAATGTGGTTCAGGGACTGTGAGACAGACTAGTTCAACTGTTACACACTGACGAACTGCCCCGACAGTGACAATTGTGTTTATCTTACTCCTGACCTAGTTACAGCTGACTGGTATAGTTTATCTCGTTCAAATCCGAATTACGTAATGAGGGCAGTGTAGTACAAATATGCAGCCCCGATGGAGCAAATCCATCTTTAATATGTGAGATTCAACGATTCTCTCCTACACTGTTTAGAGTTGACGAGAAGAAATCACGAGAAACAGTTTTAACTTAACTCCTTTGAGTGGCATCTGGAAGTCGGTGTGAACAACGGGGAGAGTCCTGTGGATATACAACTTTTTATCATTAATATAAGCGACGTTTCGGTGTGGTCACTAACGTCGTTATCAGATCATGCGTGCTCATATTCCTTGTTAAATTTTCCAACACTTGCTAACATCTTGAATATTCGATTTCTTCCGAAATAATCCGATGTAGAAACATAAACGCAAATGTCAGGCAGTTTGAATATTTTGTTACGAATCCATTGAATAATGTATTAATACATTTTGGTAGATAGCAGATGTCGTTTGTCGTTTGTTGCTCAATTCCCCCGATTTTAACCCTTGTTGTGTCGATTAGAGTTTGTTGTGAAGGTTCTACCAAAGTGTTGACCTTGACCACATCTGTCCCGAAATGTCGTCAAAGCGTGTGAACCCACGCCACTCACTCACTCACTCACTCCTCTGTTAAACTGGCCCCTCCTGTAAGCTTGTTGAAACTGCCTGGTCCGTCGTTGAACATGTTTACTAAACAAACCGCCGTGTGCTGAACCAGCCTGTACACTATGGAACAGGGACGCCGGAAAATGTAACACTACCCTATGTCGCTATAATCCAGTCTTGCTTCTGTTTCAGATCGACATTTTCCACACAGACGAAGCCCTACGGGAATATTACACCTTGATGGATATTGCATATATATACACATGGAGGCGGGTACGTATATCATATATATCACATATCACTCTGGTATATATCAGGAAACAAAATGTATTGTGCGTATGTACTTATGTCCACGCTACCTTTATATATACAAATGTACTTCTTAAAGGAAATTCCGTGGGTCGATATCTATTTGCGTAGAAGTTACGTAAGAACGATGCGCGCACGCATTTACACTCACACACGCACGCACGCACACATGTATATATGTATATTTATTAACCCAAAAGGGGCTGTGGGGAAGGCTAGTGGTTAAAGCGTTGGCTCGTCACGCCGCAGACCCGGGTTCGAATCCCCACATGGGTACAATGTGTGAAGCCCATTTCTGGTGTTCCCCGCCGTGATATTGCTGGAATATTGTTAAAAGCGGCGTAAAACTAAACTCACTCACTGACTGTAGTTTAGGCGTGTAACATCCTCCACCCACCCGTGGAGATCCGGGTTACAACTGCTCCTTCGAACCCACGCTTCTCGGAAGAGGCGACTTAGTTGATCGGGTGGTCAGGCTCGCTGACTTGGTTGATGCCTGTCAGCCTATCCCAGATCGATGTTAATCACTGGATTGTAACATCTGGACCAGCGTCACATTGCTGTATATACGTGAATACGGCATTCACCACCAGCAAGCAAACAAACCTTACTCCATCAATGTTCCTACATGCGTATTGTGTTCGCCGACAGCAGCGCGGCAGACTCAAGGTCTATTCTTCCTGAAATGAAAAACGTCTTCTATTACCGCATCCACGTATTGATTTTTCATCTCATTCGGAATAGTTATGGCTGTTGTATTGGAGGGAGATCGTGTTCGATTCCTGTAATCAGTAGTCTTGATGAATTGTGTGAGAAGGCATTGCGCAAAAGCTGGTAGACCTTTTATGTGTGATGTATAAATTCTTACTTGAAGTGAGTGAGATTGTGAGTTTTACGCCGCACTCAGCAATATTCCAGCTATATGGCGGCGGTCTGTAAATAATCGAGTCTGGACCAGACAATCCAGTGATCAACAGCATGAGCATCGATCTGCGCAATTGGGAACCGATGACGTTTGTCAACCAAGTCAGCGAGCCTGACCACCCGATCTCATTAGTCGCCTCTTACGACAAGCATGGGTTACTGAAGATCAATAGTCTAACCCGGACCTTCACGGGTCTCTTACTTGAAGAGATATTTGAACTCATTCAGCAGCATGTGCTTGTGTGACTGAATTCTATATCTCGAATTTGGCGTAAAAGTGTATCAGGATAGACCATATCATATCCTATGTAGTCGAATTCTGAACAATGATCCATTCGATAAGAAATTACTTCAACATTTATACACCTGTGATGTAACCCCAACATGAGGAAATAATGTACGTAGGTGCAAATAATTAATTGTTTTATCTGTTGTTAGCAGGGGTGGTGAGGTAGGCAAGTGGTTAAAGCGTTCGCTCGTCACGCCGATGGCCCCGGTTCGATTCCCCACATGGGTACAATGTGTGAAGCCCATTTCTGGAATATTGTTAAAAGCGGCGTAAAACTAAACTCACTCACTGTCACAGACATATCATCCGGTCTTTATCCGACATACCAGTTGTTGATAACATGAACACCTACATACCCAATAGGGACACGAAGAGCCACGCTACGCTTTGTGTTCGCCAAATCGTCATATTCGTCTCGAACGAATATCATAGCATAGCATCCATCTGCAATGGATTCCTACCAGCCCCCGTATCTAAAAGACTAATGTACTAGTACCATGCATATATGCCGTATAACATTAAGTTGGTTTTGTTTGTTGCAGAGAGGCCCGATGAGGTTATACTACACCATATATGAGCGTAAACTGAAAAGACTGCACGACCAAGCTATGTTAGAAGAAGCCGAATCCTGCTGCCACGTGCCCACCAAAACCGCCAAGACGATCAACGACAACGACAACGAAATTGTGACCGCAACAACAATGTTGAACGTACCAACGGTACAAACAGAAAAAGACACTTCCGAAGACAAGGGGAAAGAAATAACCTGTCCCAAATCAAATGACCCACCCTGTCCTAAAGCTAAAGACACCCCATGTCCCAAAGCGAAAGATCCACCCTGTCCTAAAATCATCGTGGAACCGAAAGGAAAGGTTCTCACCAATTCCAAAGAGAAAGACTCTGTGAAAACAACTGTGTCTAAATGTCAGGCAGATATAGTGAAAGTTGTTTCGCAATCAACCACCAAAGAATCTGAACCCAAAAAACAAACGGAGAACAAGAAACCAGGTCCAGAAACGAAAAAGACAGTCACTGACGCTAAAAAGGGCTCCCATGATGCCAAAAAGAGTATTCAAGAAGCGAAGAAAACTTCCACGGAGGTGAAAAAACCACTACAGGAAGTGAGAAAGCCTTCTGATGTTAAGAAACTTGCTAATGAGGTTAAGAAGCAAGCGGATGGCAAGAAACCCCAGACCGAACTTCGGAGAATTGAACCAAAGAAAACCACTATTGAGGTGAAGAAACCGCCGACAGATGTGAAGAAGATGTTGAATGATGTGCGGAATGACAACAAGAAACAAGCAGAAACAAAGAGGCCAGCAGACCCGAAGAAACATCAGACTATTGAACCCAAGAAAAGCATCGAAAATGGCAAAACCGAGGTCAGAAAGACCCACTCTGTTGGTCGCAAACAGGCAGAACCAAAGAAGTTATCAATGCCAAATATGAACGGACATTTCACAAACGGTCATGGTGCCTACGACCTGAGCAAAGCCACCCTTGACGAATCTGGACTTTTTAAAATTCCAAGAAGGGATGAACCTTTGAATTTGGTGAAGAAAGACAAAACCCAACCCCTGAAATTGAACGGAGGTTTTAGCCCGAGACCGGATATGAATGTGGCGACTTAAGCGTTGTGAGATTCTTGCCAAGATTGGATATTACTGTGTGTGAGCTTGCTCCAAAGGATATATTTTATGGAATCACCGTATTGGTGAAGAAAACCGGTGGTTTGAATACACATTGATGTGAAGGATACACGTGGAACGATATTCTGTGGATGTATAATATATATCTCTGTGTACTAAGTGTGCCCAAATCGGAATGTACAAAGTGATGTTCATGAACCGGATACTTACCTGTGCAAGCAGATGTATTCTCCATATTTCAATCTGGCCTTTTAATAATGAACACTTCGAAGACGTGTGGATTACTATCCGTGACATGTTGGGTGTATATATTTACTTACATGAGACTGAACCCTCTGGGCAGGTGTTCCTGGACGACTCCAAGGTCAAGTGTACATAGATTGTATTAACGGTCTAAGACTGATTTTAAGTTATTCTGTAGAACTTAGCGCATCACCTAGTGCTGAGCAAGACAACTGCCATTTTACTTGCATTTATAGCTAATGCATTAGACGCTGTGACAAATTGTGTTGATTCGTGACTATTGGATAACTCTCCTTCGTTGGATTTTACCAGATGATTGTGATTGGTTCAGACTTCTTCCTCGTTCGTCTTTGGCTTACGAGAAGTTTCAAATTACCGATAAATTTCGATTGGCTATAGATGAAGATTCAGTTGGTTACAAACGATTTTATTCATTTGGGATCGCGAAACGAACGATAACGACGAAATAAGTCTGCGGTTAGTTTGGATGTGTACAAATTAATGTATTTGATTACTTAGGAGATTGTGATAGAAAATAAAAATAAACGACATGATGTAACTTTGTGCCTGTTAATATGTTCGAACAAACACAGATTCTCCTGGCTGAAATTGCGGCAGGCAACTCAAGTCGGTTGACAAACAAACAATACCTGGTACAGCAATGGCCAGCCGAACTGTAATTTGGTGGGGTACTCGTTTGGCTAAAGTGTTGGTCATGCCGAACCTACATTATGTCCTCCACGTGTGTAAATAATATGTGGCCAGGATATTACCAAAAGCGGGGTGAAACCATTCTCACTCACTCACTGTGATGATAACATTGTTTATTATGATTAACAACTCATACTTGTCTCCTACCGACTAACCATTATGCTTTGCGACTTGAATCACGAGACAGAAGAACCTATGTCCAGCTACTTCAAATACAGCTTAAACTAACATACTAATGCGTGGTCTGAGTTAAAATACATCCTGACAGTTAAACATTAGTCAATAAATAACTAAAAATATAGCATAAATAAGCTCTATTGAAATCTCATACATCACATTGCATTGTGTATTCATTACATAGATATCTGATACATGAGAATATTCAGTTTCATGCTTTGTGCATGTATCCGTGCTGCGTTTGACAAAGCCCGCATAATTCTTCCTGCACGTGCATCTGCGATTTGATCGTTGTATTGAAGGCTGACTGGCTGAGTATGCTTCTACGCCGTTTCTAGCAATATTCCAGCAATATCACTTTTATTGAAGGACCGGACACTGACTGATTTGGTGTAGTTTCTCATCCAACAGTCGAATACCATCCAGTTTCGTTTTCAAAAGTTTCGGATAAGACGGACATACTGGGTTGAATTTTATCTAATTCACTCGGTCGTTAATGCTCGTACTACTTCGTTCTAAAGACAAAGTACAATCCTGTTCAATATGTGCTATTTTCAAATGTACCTGTATTTTATATTACAAACAATGTCTAACAAACCCATGCTGAAAAATAGCTTGTTCTCGGATTTATAGTACGATACATATGGCTGGGGTGGAATCACAAATAGCGGTTTCCTTAAAAACGAACTGCGACTATAACGAACAAGTTCCAACAGTCTCTGCGAAGTTATGTAACCATGTTGGAACCATAATTAAGAAGGTTAAAAAATATTTCCGTTTCGACTTTTGGGGGACTTTTGGCCCAAAAACACAAACGATATCTTAGGATAGGGTTAAATGCTTGCAGCAGAGCTTCGATCCAGGTGACAGACAGGTGTTCAATTAACCACTCAGTGAATAACTCGTCATGAACATCTGGTATCTGGTTATTGAATAGTAATTTATAAACACATGTTTATAACATGGCTAACGTTATACAATGGACGCCGTTTCCAGCCGAGATTGCCTGATATTATAGAAATGTGGTTTTGTAGCTTATTTTTATTATTTAAAACATTCGTCTGTAGAAAGACTTCCGTTAATGCGATATTATTAACCTCAGCTTACAGTCGTTTACAGTTCAATACAGATCAGGGTGGTCTGTCATACAGACCCGGAAACACATATATCCAAGAAAGCCAAATATATATGTGTGGCAAGTCTAGATAACCACAGTTTCTGAAAATGAAGACCCCTTTTCGTAATAGTTTATGATTATCATGTATGACTGTAAAATATTTTTTCTGTAAAATACGTTTATTTCAGAGACTAGATGTCATTCTAAGATCGGAGTACAACAGAGAAATGTTTTTTGTTTTAGTGGCCGAGGTGTTTTGTGTGTGAATAACTGGTGTTTGTTAGGTCATAACTGCTAGAACAGTAGACTATTGAAAACTAGTCTAGGCTATGCTCCGTTCTTTTTATCGAATTAAACTACACCAACTTCTTATTTATTTAAACGGCGTTTCGGGTCCGGTTTCATTAAGTGACTATTGTGTTAGGACTGTCGTAATCTATTACAAAGAATTGGATGTAAGATATCTCAGCGCCACGACCTTTTGTGAAACAGCGACTAGCGATACTTCTTGCCCATCCGAATCATTTAGCAAAATGTAGACTCATATATTTTGGGGTACTCTGTATTAAGCTTAGGAAGGTGCAACGAGCTGCCCGATATGTCGTTAAAACGTCGTTTTTCATACAAACTACATGTCTCCCAATTTCTAAATTAATATCAAAATGTGAACATTTAATTTCAACGTCAGAGAATAACCAGTGCCGATTATCCGACGAAATTGATTCCATTTGACGACAAAATGCAGTATAAGGGTGGCAGTTGTAGGAATGGTTCACTTATAAATATCAGTGAACACGGTATGATCTCTAGACATGCAGCTTAATGCTTGGTGTAACGAGTACGGACACACTTCTACAGGGCGGTGGAATAATAACACATCGATTAACAAATACCTGCACATTGCATTTGAGTCAGGTAATCGGATTTGGTGGGTTGAGGCATTGCCAACGAGCGGTACGCGTAATAACACGAAACAAGACGATTCCGAACTTTGTTTATCGTATCGGAAGAACTCATATGCTGCATATATTGTACTTAAATTATATAACGCCAAACAATAGACAGTGTCCCTAACATAGTCCTATGAGCGTTAAGGGCAAACTGAGTGAGTTAGTTAGTTAAGTTTACGTCGCACTCAACAATATTCCAGCTCTATGGTGACGGTCTGTAAATATTCGAGTCTGGACCAGACAATCCAGTGATCAACAGCATGAGCACCGATCTGCGTAATTGGGAACCGATGCCATGTGTCAACTAAGTCAGCGAGCCTGACCACCCGATCCCGTTAGTCGCCTCTTACGACAAGCATGGGTTACTGAAGGTTCATTCTAACCCGGACCTAAGGGCAAACTAGATGTGAACATTATATGAATGGAACGCGCACAATCAGCGATGCCACCATGTGTTCGCCAAAAGGGCACCTGCCACTCACAGTTTGCATAATAAAAGTAAAAACAACATTTGTTCATTTTAATATGAATTACAGTGTTTGAGTTACGCTAAACTAAATAAGTCATATTAAGCAGGTGTTTTCATTCGCACGGCAGTAACACACACATAAACAAGTTAGATTGGTGTTGACAATTAAACATTCTATTTGGGGACTTGAACTGAAATGGTGAGCCGCTAAAGCAATCTTGCTCTGGTTGTCTGCCAAACAGACCCTGGAGCAAGCAATTCTTTGGCATGTCTGTTTCTTAGTTTGTGAAAATATAGAAATGTTCAAGTTTTGGAACTTAAAATTGGGATAAAAGCAGAAAATCTTAAACGTTTATCATTACAGAGACTACAGAAGAACGTTGTGTCCTGATTCCAGTAGACGTTTGAAAATGTCTCGATCCCTCCCTCTGTGGAGGTCGTTGACCTCACAAACAGGACGAAATGGGGTCATGGGGTCAGATGGTCTTACCGGTCATCGCGGATTAGGGCAACATTGACCGGAGACGTTGTATTGTTGCAGATAGACGACGGAGACAGGCTATTGTAAAACCCCAATAGGTTATTCCACAGCTATACATTGGACGTAATCGTTCTGAGCTTGGAGTATTCCAGTCCGAGCTCGCTCAGCCTGCATGTCTCGGTACGTGGTTTATATTGACCTAATGTTCTCAGCATCGATCATTTCTCAGCCAACTTGAGCAGAATCGGTCTCTCACCCTGACTGGTGAACACACAACACGAAGACAACCTCATCGGTCTGGACACAGTCGACAGACAAAGACAATTTATCTGTTTTCACTTACAACTTAACCTTTTCTGCAGGGGCGGATACAGCCTTTTGAGAAAGGGGGTGTACAGGGGGTGTACAGTTCATTTTCACCCGTTTTCACGAGAGTTTCAATGGTCATTTAATGAACTTGCACCCCACCCCCTCTTGATCCGCCTATGTTCTGTAAACTTATTTTATACCCTCATTAAATTTGAAATGCACCGAGGCTTTCAAAACGCAATATTCATGACTAGTAAATGTAGAAATATGACAGAGTGAGTGGGTGAGTTTAGTTTTACGCCGCACTATTCCAGCTATATGGCGGCGGTCTGTAAATAATACTGGACCAGACAATCCAGTGATCAACAGCATGAGCATATATCTGAGCAATTGGGAACCGATGACATGTGTCAACCAAGTCAGCGAGCCTGACCACCCGATCCCATTAGTCGTCTCTTACGACAAGCACTGGTTACTGAAGATCAATTCTAACCCGGATCTTCACGGGTAGATATGTTAAGCTCTAGGTTGCCTAAATATAATTATGAGATGAGAATGAGTATTGTTTCACGTCGCAGACTTCAATATTGCTGCTATATCGCATTATATTAGTCACTTCCGGTTTACTACGATTCGGCGTTTGTCTTCATTAAAGGAGGACACCCACAAATAACCAACCGATCCTCGTCTTAAACAGCCATTGCAGAAACCTGTTCTCATACGGATTTCCTACATCCTCACGAGCAGGAAACCCAAACTCTTTCAAGCAGCCTTTTAATTTAAAGATCCACATAAGACGAGCAGAGAGACGATTGAACAATTGATATAAACTGACATCGAGTACCTTCCTTACTGGTACCACGTACAGTCCTTCAATGGAATATCGACTCTTCCTCCACACACACACAACTGTCGGTGAATGTTTCATTCCAGAGCAAGTAATGAAGTCAGTGGGTGAATACTGCCTAACGTCGGGCCGCGCAATCTTCAATCTATGTCACGTCGGCCTGGTGAAGATATCCACGACATCGTCGACATCGACATTAATACAGACGTTATAGGATGTTCATTCTTTGGGTTTTCGCCAGTTCATCTGTAAGAATAATGGCCACGTTTTAGAAATACATGTACAAGTTCGGGCAATGGAAATGTACACTTGACTTAATGTTCCATTACGGTCGTTATCATAACGTGACTTGGCTGAAAACTGTCTGCAAACAAATTGGAGGTTCACAACACTACGATGAAACCCAAATCAAAACATCACCATCGAATAATCATTTCTTGTCTGGTTCTTCAAGCAATCCTCACTTATGGGTGTATACTGTCTTTTGTAAGGAAGTGT